ATTGAGTAGCAGTTTCTTGTATAAAATAAACTATGGTTGATATTATTTATTTATTTCAAACCCATCAACAAAAATCCATTAATGTATCACGTCAGTTACACATGATACAAAGATACTTGCTGTACGTACATGAACAAACTTCTTCCTTCTGTGGATGTCTTTAAATTCTGTCTAAAACAAACCAGATGATGTGTTTTATGCGTGTCTTTTATTCATTTTAATTGCAAATGTAGTCTTTTATTGCTCTCCGTGCGTGTAATTCTTCCTTTGTTTCCTGCACAGCACTTCAGAAACTTCTGGAACCTCACAGTGGCACATTTACAATCATCACCAGAGTCTGCACAGGTCTCCAGCCGTCTTCTCTCCTCAAACCAAACAACATGGGGACAAACATTCTGCTCATGACTCCATCAACCGTCACTCTGCCATACGGCGCAAAAATGAAATATCAGAGGAGAAAGTGACATTTTTGGTAATGCATGCAGCAGCTGGAGGTAAATGCCAGGTCTAATGAAATAAGGAGGGAGCTTTGCATAAACCAATGGCTTATTCCAGTGTCTGGGAGAGGCGTGTCACTCCACTAAAGGTTAAACACAACATATTCTAATCAGGGACTCTTTACACAAGCCCCACTCAATAAGGTCAACTCGTGTCAGCCCGACCAAGTGGCAGTCTGTGGACCGGCTACTTTCAAACACATTATTTGTGTTCATTTATGCTCTTGCGCACAAATGTTGAAACGTTTCATGTATAAGGATGTTAAGTACGTCACAGATGTTGATGCTTCACTTCGTCAGGACCAGAGCTGGGGGATTTTTTTAGCTTTGGTGTATGTTTTTGGGTGATGGGGGAAACCGGAGCGCCCGGAGGAAACCTATTCAGAAACATGGAAGCAGCACAAAACGCACAACTTTCTTGCTTTTAAGCATGAGTTCTCACTGGCACCAAGAGAAACAGTTCTAGTGGCAGAAGTTGGACATTACATTCTGTATTATGTATTTGCCCTCCAGTAGAGTTAAGCCTAGCGTACATCGACAGAGAAACTGGAGACAACTAGTTGCAAGGCGGCTTTTGGCAACTGAGAGGAGATGGTGGGAGATAAACAGTCGGCCTCCAGTTTCAGTCAGTTGCCCGTGTTCTACTTTTCGGCAACTAGTTGTCCTCAGTTTCGGAGATATGACCCGATGTGCGCGCTCCATGCGCCGCTCCGACAACGTGTGTGTATTGCATGTATTGCGAGCCCGCAACAGTTTATGTCAGAAAACACACTGTAGTTGACGGCCAGTTGCTGTCGATGTACGCGCTGTTATTCCCGAGACTGGTCTGCTGCAGGGAGTTGCCCGTTTTCGTCAGATTGTCGATGTGTGCGGGGCAGCAACTCATATGCGACGGATATAATCAGTTGCCAGTCCGATGTACGCTAGGCATTAGGGTTGAATTTCAGTGTCATCTTTGTGCACATTACAGCAAAAGAATAAGAGGCATCCAACAGATCTATTACACTGGGTAACAAAAAAATATTTTTTGAAAATAGTCCAGGGTTTTCCAGCTGAATTAGATTAATTTTGACGCTCTTAGTCCGAAAATAACCTTGGTTTTGCTCAATCAGGTCAGGATTTTTTGCTTCAGAAATATTTTTTTGAATCGATTTTGCGTAAAAAACAAATTTCTGCCGATCATCAGCTGAGGAACCCTTGACGTTTTTTCCATTTTCCTCAAGAAATAAAAGTCAACGTATCCAAAGTAATTCAGTTTTTATTTACTCCATCAAATTTGATAAGCAGAATTCATAATAATGTAGACGTATGTATTCCGTAACACTATGGCTGTATCTCAAAAGGTTGACCTGATAGAGCAAAATGCATGTGATATTCGGACTCAGAACACCAAAATTAGTCTAAATCAGTTGAGAAACCCCTGACCATTTTTTGGCTGTCAACTTGTGTTATATATATTTATTTAGTAAATAGATACTTAAATGTCAAAATATTAATAACATAATAAAACTCTGGACTATTAATTGCTATAATGTAAGATATACATTTGTAGGAACCTTCATCTGTAATTATTTGCAAATCTTTTATTCGTCCCACAGTGGTGAAATTTCAATGTTGCAGAACACATCCAGGACAGTAGTAAAAGCACACAGGGAGCACACAAAATATACAATATAAGTATCTGCTATGTTTCTTAGCTAGCTGCTATAGCTATCAATCTATCTATCCATCTATCTGTCTATCTATCTATATATATTGTAATTTTGTGTACATATACAGGTAGGGCAAAATAATAAGTATATCACTGAACCATAGTACATTAAGATCTTATTGTAAATGTGGATGTGTTGTTATTCCAATTTCTAATATTAAAATCCTTTTGTGTTTATATCACAATAAGATTCTCTATATGCAAAACTGTTCCCGCACAGATATCATTGCTCAAGTGCGGTGTATGGAAATTGGCATGCAGGCGGCCCGAGTCACACGTGTCGCACTCTTGACGGGCTGATCCCGCCAATCGGCTCTATTGATTATCGGGCCTGTGAGGCAGCAGGAGCGGCAGCAGTAATTAGGGCTTTTTGGTGTGGATTAGCCGAGAGAAAAGGTCACTTACGCGACAGGAGGGAGGAGAAGGTAGGGGGGAGAGGGACCGGTCACTGTCCCCAAACTGGAGACTCCTTACTGGGGAGACAGGGCGCAAGGGGACAGTAAGGTACATATCAAACTGAATGATACACTTAGAAATGGTCACAATCAATGTTTGCAGGGCGCGTATAACAGATCAAAAAACCTCTCTGTTGGGGGTCTTGGTTTGATGAAGCTCTCCGAGGTTTTTCAGTTTTCTCCCACTGGGTTTTATAGTTTTTACTTGATGAAAAACAGGAGGGTCAAAGGACAGTAGTGATGATTCAGGACATTCAACCACGTTTATGGACATGTCATCTGCACCTTATGGACCAATGGCTCTATGTGTTTTTTATCATTGCATTCTTTGTGTTTGAGCTGTTTGATTTTCTGATCTGTGTTGGTGAATCGACAGCTTCAGTCAAGTTAACTACTGTTGTAATTTAGGGCTATACAAAAATAGTAAACAGAATCAGTGACAAAAGGCAGCCCTGAGGACGACAACATGCACTGGGAACCATGTTTAATGCTCCATACATACACACACATCCAGAACTAATGTTACGCCTGTTTTCATACACTTATCCACAACTGCTTGGTTGTGCTCCAGACATTCATAAATATTATTTTTATTTTATTTTGTTGAACCCGTCCACGGGTAGCCGATGATGATGAGAGCTGTTTCCTCCTCTATTCTGACATCTGTGTCCGGTTAGACTTTAACCTGTAGTCTATGAAGAAAACCTTAACCTGATCCAAGAGTTCCTCACTTTATGGAACACTAGGACAATCTTATTCATATTTTAAAAAAAAGAACTCAGTATAATTTTAGTCACTACTTGCAACTATTCATATGATATTCAATTCCACTGCAATTTATCTCGCTGCTCTAGTAGCAGTATAACTTCTAATGATGTGGGTAGATTCATTCAGTAGAAGTATGGTGTTGCTTATTACCCCCTGGTTCGTTCTGTATATCAGATAATTAATGTACACTTAGAAGATGAAAGGGTGGCTATCGTTGGCATAACTACAGTCCAGTGATTATAAAACAAAAAGCTAATTTGCACTGGAGCAGGTGGGAAATGTATTGCACAGAGCTTGAAGAAACACACAAGTGAGAGCACCTGGATATGCTTCCTAAGAATCTAGAAAACTCTTTAAAGAACATAAATAATAAGTCTTTTTGATATAATATTGTTTCCCTCATTAGAAACAGACCTGGAGTTATGGTGTGGTCCATCCCTGCAAATAGCAGGAAAGAAAACGCTAGAATAATCTTTCATTCATATTAATATTTTTCCTAACCCTTAATTCAGGGGTGTCAAACGGGTTCTCAAAGGGCCGATGTGGCCGCAGGAGCTTGGTCTAGTGTGTTTAGTGTTTAGCGTGCTCCTGCTTGGTCAGAATGAAAACCTGCTGCCACAACAACCCTTTAGAGATTGATACCTCTGCCCTATATCTTGTGTCTTTGTTTTTCTATGGATTCACTCTGGCGCTCCATTTGCAGCTGTAGTTCCTAACGGATAAATACAGTTATTTTAATTGAATTGAACTGAAATATTTAGCGCTTACATCTACCTAAGATTTGAACGTGGTCTTATTTCACTGTTTTTGATGAGATTTTCACCTTGTCCTTGAACAGCGCCTGTTTTATGAAACATTTTAACCCTGTAGAACCCAGACATACAAATATTTGTTTAAAAAATATATCTGTGCTTTTTGGAAAGCAGCTTCCAATGAGCAAAATGGCAATGTAGCATATTCACTTTTTCTTTAGTCAATGCAATAATCCAAAAAGTCATACTTCTTCTGCCAAAACTTTTGAACTTAATGATGCATGTTTGCAACAAAAAGTTCTACAGGATTAAAAACCATATGAAGCTCGTCTGTCTTAAGTTTGGGCCAAAATGAATATAAATAATGCATAGTTCTTTAAAAAGTCCACCTCGCTATCATCACTACTCCTCAGATCTGTGGTCAGGACCAGGTCAGAACAAGGACAGAGCTCGGACAGACTGGGTCAGGACAGGGTCTGGACTGGGACAGGACTAGGACAGGACTAGGACAGGACTAGGACAGGACTAGGACAGGACTAGGACATGACTGGGACAGAGCTGGGACAGAGCTGGGACAGAGCTGGGAAAGGACTTGGTCAGGACTGGGTCTGGACTGGGACAGGACTAGGACAGGACTAGGACAGGACTAGGACAGGACTGGGACAGGACTGGGACAGAGCTGGGACAGAGCTGGGAAAGGACTGGGTCAGGACTGGGTCAGGACTGGGTCAGGGCTGTCCTTGCCTCCCTCATGTATTGGCGGTCTCATCATCACCTCTGGGGCCGGAATGTGGACAAACACAGGAGCGGAGCAGGAATGTGCCTCCTCCGCCTCAGACCGGAGTGTGGAACCAGGCCGACCCTCTACCATAACAAGCCTGGTCGCTCCACACAGAGACATAACAGCGGCGCAGGACGGCGCATTGTTCTGCGGCTGATTTACGGCGCGTTCGGACATGTTTTCGGCGTTAGCGGCTCACTTATCGAGGCGATCTGTTTGGCTGCTGTCATGTGTGCGCAGAGCATGTGGAACCAATCGTGAGCTCATAAAGGCGGTGTGGCTGAGTGATGGAGGATGTGTGAGAGAGGGGGTCCGAGTCAGGGGAGTGGGATCACAGCGCCGCCTCTGGTCGACCGCTGAACAGGCGGTCATGGCCAATGCTAACTCAGACGGATTACGATTAAAGTGGTTCAGTGGTTCTCAACTGGAACGTGTCAGGATAAGTAGCAAGTTTTGTCAAGAGTAAGATTATTTTGCAGAAGATGAGAGTTTGTTGACTAGTTTCTTTGATCCATTTTTTTTTACTCAATAATGCGATTCCCAACGTCCAGAAATATATAGATACAGTAGATACTTTATTCATTCACCCATAGAATAATTTCAGGTGTCCAGCAGCGGAAACACATCCATCCATACAAACAAACAGACACAGACAGACAGAGAGACAGACACATAGACAGACAGACAGACAGACAGGTTGGTTGATAGATAGATATGTAAATGTTCCTGATCCCTGGACGGTCCCCCACACACTGGACAGAAGCACAGCCCGGTGTCTTTAGCCTGGGCCTGGTGCAGGTCTCTCCCTCTTGGATGAAAGCAGCCGCGGCCCTGTGCTCCTGAGTTCACGGCAGGGTCAGGAGTGTCACCACATACATCACTGGGTTGCGTTTCCATGGCGACGCACCTCCACTGCTGCGAAGCCAAACAGTGAAACTGAGACAAAAGCCCTGAGCAAAGACGAGCTGTTTACGAGAAGGAGGACGGGGAGGAGTGTGAGTGTGTGTTTGTCTGTGTGTGTGAGTGTGTGTGTGTGTGTGTGTGTGTGTGTCTGTGTGCGCGACGACTTCTGATTACTGTTTTGATGGTACAGTAAAGCTGGGATACTTAATTTTCAAACATCCACAAAATAACAATGGAATGCAATCCATGTCACTTGTTCCTGTCTCTAAAACAGTTTATCTCTAGTTTTTATGCTTTTTCAGACCATAAGTGAATAAGAGAGGACCACCCTCACTAACTCAAATGGTTCTCTCTAATAAGATGAAGAAAGCAGTTCATGTTTTATGTTGGGACAACACAACGCACTGTAGTTATGAAACAAAAGTTAGGTACTCCAGTTCCATGTCTCTCAAAGGGAGCCGTTCAGGAACCACCAGAAACTCACCCTCCTCTCAAAAGAAGCTCCCCAAAAGGTGCATTACGTAAAATATTGGGTTGCAAATGTGATTATTTTCCAAACCGTTGTTTGAGGCTGCCATAAGACACTGAAGTTTTCTCATCTGTTACTGCCCAGAAGCCTGCACTGGGACAGAGATACCATCATCTTATTTACATAAAAACACAGATAATTAAAAATTCTAAATGCAAAAACTGCATTATGTTGTGCTTTCTCCTCCCACTGAGACTCTGAACATTGCTACTGAACACTTCTCTGGGTGAAAGCTCTGTGTTGAGGGTGAAAGGCAGAGTCCACGATGGCCCTCATCGAATGCACCTGCTCTCAAACCACTCATGCTCATCCTGATGTCTGTTTACATGTTGTCACGGAAACAGGAAGCATCAGAATTTCGTGCCTCATGCGGGGTTATAACTGCACGGTGCAGGCCAGACTCAAACTGAGGCTGACACTGTTCACACTGAAGGTCAAGGAGACACATTTGTTTCCTAATTTTATCCTACTGATATTTGTTTGATCTATTGTTCAACAAGTTTTACAAATCATTTCACTCAGTTTCAATTTGTTTTACTCTTACTATGTGCACAATGTCTATGTGCACTTATGACTTTAATCACTGTGTGCTTTGTAAAGTCAGATTCAATCAGATAGTTTTGCCGTTCCTTATTCCCTGCATTGTCGTCATATCACATTTTATTTTACATATTTTTATCCCTCTTCCTGTGTTAGTGTTCTATTGAAACACATCTCTTGTGTGCCATTATGTTTTTGGATTTTACACCAAAATGTGACCCACTTATAATGTCTAAAATAGCATGCTAAAATCACCCATGTGATCCGCGCTCACCATTCATCAAATGAATCGTTAGGGTTTCATTATCAATAATACATCTGTGGTTAATTGCTGCTCCCCACACAAGCAGAGCCACCGCTGACATGAGCCTCACCCTCTGTGTTCCCCACAGTGTTATTACAGAGGGACGCGGGCGCTTTGACAATGAGAGAACCAAATACAAATAATGAGAAAAGTGAAATAAAGACAACACACACAAGAGGGTCATTGGGTAAAGGAAAAAAAAACATTGTAAGATATTCAACCAAACCATATGACTAAGACATCATTTTCAGAAAACCCACCAGCTGGAGACTGTGAGGAGAACAATATTTGGTACAATTTGCCAATTATTATTTGGGTTATATAACAGGGAAATGCTATTATTAATAGACCATTATTAGTAAAGGTTGCCTGACACTAATAGGGTGACGAGCTCAGTATAGAGCCGCTGCTTCTCCACGTTGAGAGGAGCCAGTAAAGGTGGCTTGAGGGGTGGCAATAAGAGCTCCCCCAATGTTCAAAGCACCGGTCCCTCACTGATCCTCTGCATCTGGTGAGTCCACAGATCTCTCTCTTTTCCTCCTCCTCCGTTGTTGTTGTTGAGAGAGAGATCTCTCTCTTTTCCTCCTCCTCCGTTGTTGTTGTTGAGAGAGACGTGAAATGAAAATGTGTGTTTTCTTAAAATGTGGCCAAGTTGCAGCATGTACAATGAAAAGAGGGCAGGCCTAAAATGGAGCAATAGAGTGGTACCAGACCAGACTTGCAGGGCCCAAAATGGACCGAAAAACTTCCGTCACTAAAATAAGACCTCATCCAGTTTAAAGCAGTGCCTTTAAAACCAGCGTTGTGCTCCAAACCTGAAATTAAAATGCTATGATCTACAGTGTCAAAATCAGCTTTCAAAAAACCAGAGTCAGCTGTAAAAAAATCATTACAAACTCTGAGCAAGGCAGGGTCTGTGCCATTTAGAGCTGTAAAAACTGATTGAAATGAGAGTCAAATATGCAATTTGTGTCCATATGCAGTTGGAATGATTTAGAACAATTTTCTCCGATATTTCGGCTTAAAAAGACAAGTTTGAAATAGAATGAGCAAGAACATTGTTGTGCAATGTGGGCTGGCTTAAAAACATCTGGAATACAGTCAGGTGAAAGGGAGGCCATAATTGCATGTAAAGCATAACCATAAAGCAAGTAAAAGCATTGTAAGACCCAACAACAAAAGAATTGCAAGACTGACCTGTTCAAACCAAAGGGAGAGGAGAAGGTGAACTGGGATTTTAAAGGCTCTCTACTACGCTTTTCCATTCTATGCACATTTGAGAGATACACCATACAACACTCAAAACTTGTGAAATTAGCCATCTCTTGCATAGAAGTGATCTCAACTCAGCTTGCATTGACAATGATTTATACATTCACACAGTCTGAGCAGAGAAGAAGAGAAGCACCACCTCTACCAACTCATGTTTCACATATTAAAGGTGCCATATAATGCTTTTGGACTTTTCTCTGCTTTAAACATTACAGTGTACTGTATTACTATTTGGCCTTCATCCACATGCCCATCGTAGTTTTTTCATTGATTCCTTCAAGCTTTAGTTACCTTCGAGACGCAGTGAAACGCCCGGGTCCACATCTGTGACAATTTCAACATTGATGACAAATATGACTCGCAGAAGCCCTTTTTTATTTTATTTTGAATGATTCTCAAATAAGGTTGTCAAAAGAGGGAAAAAATTCTCAGTAAATATGCTGTTTGTTGTCAAAAATAATACTAAAATCCAGGAGGTGATCAAATCACGGCGCACAGCCAGCTCCCAAGTCCAGCGTATGTTTATGGTACGGTCCGTGTCCACCACATGGAGCCATACAGTTTTTCTGCTTTTGCCAGCGAAGTGTTAAGATCATGTCAACTTGGAGAAAATGTGCTCTTGGTGTCATAGACAGAGCTCCCCAACTCTCAGTCATTCACCAGACCGCCAAGGAAAGAATACGGGTAGAGACAACTTGTAAACAAGACCGCGTTCAGAGGCTGCACTGCACTGAGTTTTACCACGGATTTATTATAATATATAGTTTTACAAACGTGGTGTGAAGAGAAGAAATGCATGGAGGAATAACGTCTGCGGGAGCTTAAAACAACGATGATTAAAGAAGCAGGACATATACACAGCCGGGGCAGGACATGGCTAATAGCTCATGTTAGCATTAGCGTTATCCACAGCGCTACATCTGCATCACGGTAAGAAACAGAACTTTCACTCACGCTGCTGATAAAGTGTTCTGGCGATTGTTTTGTGGCGATTCTGTGTGTGTTTTATTTGAGGCTTTTTTCCCTGAATAAGTTTAGTTGAAACTTGTGACAGTAGTTGGACTGCGCTCGGTGTGTGAGTCTGTTGTGTACAAACTACACGATGTGCCTCCTGTTGTGTTAACGCTGTCTTTGTGCGTGTGGTTTGCGATGTTGACGCTGGACTTCTGCATAATTATTTTTCTAGAAGATTGTTGTTCTTTTACATATCTGTGGTCCTCCATGGTTCTTTTATATAACTGTGGTCCTTCATAGCTCCTTCTTCCAACTTGTGAAGGCACGGTGAAAGAAACAATATCAGTAGCTCATGCGAAACGGAAACGCGATTCTCGCTCCCGTTTTTTCTTTTATCCACAACCGTTTTCAAGATGGCTTATTTACGTGGAGGGCACTCCTCTCTCATAGAGACTTAGTTAAAGTCTAAGCCAATAGCGAACTATCTGAATGACGTCACTAAGACACGCCCCCGCCGCCTGTCAACTCCCGCCCACATGTTTCGGACAAACACTGCCAAAATTAATCAAATACCTCTTGTCACTTTAGACGAAAATGATAAACCAGGGGCAAAATTCCACCATCAAACCATCAGGGATCATAGTGTAGACCAATTAAAACGTTGGCTTGAATGTCGTGGTCTTCCAGTAACTGGTAGAAAGTTTGATTTGATAAAAAGGTAATGGTGAGGATTATGCTAACATTATCTAGTCATT